AAATCATCCCTCACTTGTAAGCTTTGCTGGAAAAAGCTACTATGCCTCCCTGTTAAGAAAGTTGTTGCTGAATAATTGACTTTGGCAGCTAAAACTGGCTTGATGGGAACTGGAGGGACCTAGAATTCCCTCATAACCCCCTTGTGTCTGTTTTTCTATTTTGGTGCTCCAGGGGGTTGAGAGAGTTGTCTGGGTTTTCTACCTTTATTTGATTTTGGAAGGCATAATATTTGTGTTTCCTGGAGTTCACCAGGGTGGGTTAGGGAAGGCAAGGAAGATGACTCTGTTGCCCCTGGAGATCTTTAGGCGAATGGTATGGAGATAAGCCTGCAGGTCAAGGGGCTGGAAAGGAGTGGAGGGATGGAGATGGTGGCTACAACAGCTTCAGCCCTTTAATGATGCAAACAGGAATCAGATGGTTTTTCAGAGGGTTCAGTTACTTTACATCTAGTTTGTTTTCATCTGTAAAATGATTTTGTCATCAGAATATGCAGCGATAACCCCAAATTTTCAGTGGCTTAACCTATCAAAGGCTTATTTCTTATTTCTTACTAGGAGCTGGCAGGACACTATCCCACATTGTCTTCAATCAGCCTCTTAAGCTGTGATGGTCTTCAACTGTCTGAACATTCCTAGCAGCCATGGCCAGGGAAGGGAATGTAAGAAATCATGAAGGAGCTCTTAAAGGCTTCTAGACACAAATGTTGTAAATTCACTCATACCTCATTGGCTGAAACAAGTCACTTGGCCATATGTAGCTTCAAAGGGGAGAGAAAGTATTATCCCGTCATGTGCATGGATGGAAGTGAACCAATCTTGATGAATACCCCTATTGGCTACCACAGGGGTGCTGATGCTTATGTGATCCACACGCCGCCACATGGTGGTCCTGGCAGAGTCCTGTGTACAGACTGGAGAGAAATGAACACCATTTGAAAAAGAGTTTTGTTCATGAATTATGAAAAAAGTGGACATCTGCCATTTTTTAATGTGTAAAGAAGTACTTAAACTTAGAAATCAAAAAATTTGTGCAAACATTAAGTAGTAATTATAGAAGTAATACTGCGTTTTCCTGTTTAGTTATCCTTGTTGTATTACCTTCTCAATTGAGGCTTTACTGGGGTACCTGCCCAAAGGTGACTCTTATATGGAAGTGTAGTATCAAACTCGACCTAGCCTGTGCCCCTATGAAACAGAATACCTGAAACCACATACCATCCCAGGTTAAAAAAAAATGCTCTCACAGGTCATGAAAACTTAAGGTGGTGAGAGGCATGGGTTAGTAACAATACTAGAGTGTGATCATAAAATAGGGTATGACTTAAACAGACCAGTCCTGCTGGGAGCTTGCTAGCACAAGAAGGCACTTGCACAGAATGGCTTTGTCTGTCCTGGGTGCCACCACTCATCTTCCACTTTTCCTGCCGTAAAGTGCCACTTTCCTGGGGTTGGTCTTGTGCAGTTCAATGGGAGCTATTTAACAAGGGTGTTCTGTTGGGTTCTTTTGTTTTGTTTTGTTTTTGTTTTTGTTGTTGTTGTTGTTGTTGGGTTCTTTTGACTTCTGCAGGTGATGACTTGTTTTCTCCTGCCCTGTTGCCCTTATGGGCATTGCTCCACCTTGCCCTGCCCCACAGTTTGGAGAAGCTCAAGGGATTTTCACTAAGCTTGGAGATCGGTGCTTCAGCATATCTTTGTCTGGATATGGCGAGTGTATGCAGAATGGGTGAAGTGTGTTTACTGTGATACCTCAAGGGGATGAGCTTTGAGCAATGTCCTCTCAAGTCATTCATTTACCTGGAGGCTGGGAGTTTTGAAGATTAGTTTCCAATGTTCTCTTTTCACTGTATAAAGAATCCCAGGGTACCATTCTACCATCTCTCCTTCCCTCAACCCCCATTTCTGTTCACATTTCTTATTCTCCAGCAGAAAATTCCACCTGGAAGCTGTGACTGCAGCTCCCTTCAGAGTACATGTCATAGTGACCCTCACTATGGCATTCAGCATAGTATTTTAAATGCTATGGGAAATCAAGACATATCTGTTATTTTTAGGAAGAATTAAATTATGGAGGCTTTCCTCTATTAAAAAAACCATACTTAAGGAAAAAATATAGGAACATAAACCAAATATCTTTGCCTTCAACTAAGTGTTTTTCCCCCGATCTATTCCTGTTGCTACTCCCAAATGAACCCCTAGTTCCAAATATACATTATGAGTCTTTTGTCTCCTACGAGTACTATTCTGTCTGAATCATCAGGCTTCCTGTTGTCTCTTGTTCATACTCATACCCTTCAGGCAGATTTCTCAGTTACAGGCAGGGGTGAAGATGGTACAGTACCAGATAGCATGCTCTTGTTATCTGGGCATCGGCCATCTGCTCTCCCAGCAACCTGGGCACCCCCCTGCTACGCTACCCGGATCTTACCTGTTAGGCAACTCACAACAGTCACCAGGGATGCACAGGGTTGTCTTGGTGGTTATTGATTGATCATGTTCCTTATTCTTAGATGGATATTTGCGCACCTTCATTTTTAGGTGAATTTTGCAGTTTCTGGGCTGCTTTGGTCATGGTGGTGGGCAGTTGGCCTCTAAAGACTATGGAGGAGGCACAATAAGTGGGGAATTTGAGTTTGTAAAGGGAAGCATTTCATCGTGATTTGTAGCCCTAGGGCTCTGAGTATTGAAAACCGAAGAGGAGGAACCAGCAAGATGGCAGTGCAGTAGGAGTCATGGCATAAATGAGATCCAGATCAGACTGGTCATTATCTTGTAATTATTTTAAGATCTAAAACTGGTGATCTTCATAAGAGTGCCAGCTACACTGACACATGTACATTGCTATATACACACACATTTGTCGATTTATATAATTTGAAGGTGGGAATAAAGAGTGATAACAGAAGCTCACAGATATTTTGCAGGGATAGAGAGAAACAGTACTCTGCTGTGGGTATGTTCCAGAGAAGTATGAGCCTTTTTCATTTATTGACAGATACTGTCTCTGACACACTGTCATTTTGTGGGCTTCTGTTGTTCCTTGTAAAATATGATGGATCATGAATGAAAAGGCGTAACTTCATGGAAAGAATATTTTTGGCCTATTAGGGTTGTGATATGTTTAGGAAAGCTTCCCTGTAGATGTGACTTTCACTCACCCTTTATCCTTGCCTCAGTTTCTACATACTTCATGTGCATTTGACCTTGAGTGGAGGTTATTTGATGCTGCAGGTTGTCATTAAGAACAGAAGTTCACATCACGGTTTCTCCTAAAGCGGCTACCTCACAAAGGTCTGTGATGCAGCTTCCACAACCTTGTTCCCTCCAGTCTTGTTCCTGGAGCTCTGAGCAGCTTCCAGCAAGTTACTACATTAATATTGATCAAGTTTGTTGGCAGGTGTGGTCTCTGCCGTGATATATACCACCATATTTATCAGACTTATTTACTGCATACTTCTTTTTCAGTATTGAGTTGGGCTTAGTGTGGTGTTCTGCTTACCTTTGAGGGCATTTGTCCCTGCCCAGTAGCTTCTGGGTTACACCATGGGAAGCAACAGATTTAGGGAGGGAGGAGGACGTTGGATGTGGTGGTAAGAAGTCTTACCCTTGCTCGGCTGCCACCAGCCCTGAAAGTGCAAATCTGGCAAGTACATATGGCTCTTGGCATTAGGAAAACCTTGCTGAAATGAAATTAAAATTCCTCTGCTGGACAGGAAATTAATCAGGGCTGAATACAGTAGACAAGGACAGAAGCTAGAGTCCTTGTTCCATCACTGATGAGTGTTTTGTTATGCAAATGAGATTAAATGCACAGTGACTGGCAGGGCATCGAGGAGGGGCAGAGGACTGAAGGAGATGAACAGGTTCCTTAGGATTTAAACTCTAGCTACAAAAATGTTTTTATAGCATCTGCTGCGTCTTAGACATCAAATGCTGAGCGAGGGAAGCACCTCAGCTTCTTCTGTCATTGTTTCTGCAGAGCAGTCTTGACAGTGTGATACATTGCAAATAATTCATTCCATAACACTACTAGATCGCCCACAGTGAAGCAAGGCTGTATGCCAGGTGTCAGGGCTAAGTCATGAAGACACCTAGTCCTTGCCTTCCCAGAGTTAATAGTCTGGTAGAAAAGGATATTGGAAAGAATTAAGTCGGGGTGCCTGGGTAGCTCAGTGGTTGAGCATCTATCTGCCTTTGGCTCAGGATGTGATTCCAGGGTCTGAGATCAAGTCCCACATCAGGCTCCTTGCAGGGAGCCTGCTTCTCCCTCTGCCTATGTCTCTGCCTCTCTCTCTGTCTCTCTCATGAATATATAAATAAAACTTAAAAAAAAAAAAAGAATTAAGTCTACAGATAACCAGCCAGATAAGAAATGTTGTCCTACTACTTGGGACTATTTGGTTGAAAAGTAGCTGAAGCCTATCCCAGTAATGTCAACAATAAAAAATGAATGAATTAAAAAATAATTAATTAATTAAAAAATAAATTTTTTTTGGAAAGGATTGAATTGGTACAAGGAAAATTGAACAGCCAAAAGGAACATGGGTAGGGGAAGCTCTGGGATCTAAGTATCAGAACAAAGGGACAATCTGTTCAGGACTCTCCATCTGGTGAATCACCTCCATGCAGTCTTAAATCCATTCACTTAAGATTCACATTCCCAAAAGAAGGTATCTGCTGGATCCAGCTTGGGCCATTTGCACACTTCTTGGAGACACAAAAGCAGGAGACTCGTATAGTGCCACAAAGATTTTGAGCAGTGGCAGAGGGACTTTCTCCCAAAGACAGAACGAGTGCCATAAAGGCAAGGAGGAGGCCGGGCAGGGAGGGAGGGAAGTGCATTATAAAATTTAGCTGCTGTTGTGGTTTCTGGGATTCCTGGCCAATGAGTGGGCATACATTTATTTGGAGCATGCTCAATGTTGAGGCTGTGGTAGTTTGAGACCATAAAATTTAGAATGAGTCAACTCATTGGCACTTCTGTCTTGTTCTCTTGATCCCAGTGTGAGCAGTCCCACCTCATGAGAGAACATGAGGATGTCCAGGAGCGGACAACGCTTCGGTATGAGGAGCGCATCACAGAACTCCACAGCATCATTGCTGAGCTCAATAAGAAGATAGACCGTTTGCAAGGCACCACCATCAGGTAGTGAGCTCCCGGCCGCGGCTTTCTCTCTGCCCCCTTGGCTCTAACCTGGCTCCTGGAATTGAAGTTGGCCCAATGAATAATAATGATTTTTTTAAGATTTTTTATTTATTTATTCATAGAGACAGAGACAGACAGACAGAGAGAGAAAGAGAGAGGCAGAGACACAGGCAGAGGGAGAAGCAGGCTCCATGCAGGGAGCCCGACGTGGGACTCCATCCTGGGTCTCCAGGATCACGACCTAGGCTGCAGGCGGCGCTAAACTGCTGTGCCACCGGGGCTGCCCAATAATGATGTTTTATTTGCAACAAAGACTTTTACAGTTGATAACTACTTTCTCTTTACATTGTTAACCATGCACTTTCCCCTTCACTCTTCTGTTCTTGTCTTGATCATCAGAGGGCTACCCTGGAGGGTAGACAGGGTGGGAGTTGTAATCCTCAGTTAGTGATAAGGGTGTCAGATCAGAAGTTGATGAGATGCTTTATTAGTGGGTTCTGAATGGAGGCCCTCTGTCTCCCTACTAGTATCCCTACCACCTCTTAAATCCACCAGGTCTGCTCTAGATGTGCAAACTGTGTGCCTCCCTTGAGAATATTGAGAGCTGGCTTATGACAAAGCAGTATGTGTGCTTTGAGATCATCTAACATTTTGAGCTCACCTGAAGTTGATTTACCATCATTGATGTGCCCTTTTATAATCTCCTAAGGTAGGGGGCAAGATTGGATATATCATTTTACTGGCGAAAAAAGTCTGGGGCTTAAAAATATTAAGAAATTACTTTGAAGTTATACTCAGCAGAGGATAGAGGTGGAGTTAGAACCCACAGCCTCTCTGCTTTTATTTAATATTCTTTCTGTGAAAGTGACTTTTGGGGGTCCTGCCTTCCTTATCAATCAGTTAACACCTAAGGCTCCTGCACACAACACTTAATTGGTGTGTTTGCCCTGCTGTTCAGAGGGGTTTGCTTTGAGTGACTTAGCCAAGGATGAGAACTTTTCTCTTCCTGCCTGTCCTCAGGGAACAGCCCCGGGGAAAGCAAATGGTTGACACCTACCTTCATGGAAAAAGAATGCTTTGTTCACAAGCCACTATTAGGGCAGTCGTAAAGGCAACTGCTTTAAACTTTCCTTCTAGAAGTTCCAGGTTAGAAGAAAATTTGGGTGCATTTTGTTCCAGCTCTGTTAGAGTAATGACAGGGCTATTTGATGAGGGTACTGATGGGACTCTGGTTTTCTGGGCAAAATCATGGAAAATTTTGCTCAGAACTGGAGCCACATGATAAATTCCATATTCCAATTTAGAACCCCAAGGCTTTTAAATTGTATCCTGGTCTTCAGCATGATTGTAGGTTAGAAACGCAAGAACAGAGAAGAATTTTCAGACCAAAGAAATGATTATAGGAGATTTAAAGAAGGCTGACATAGTACATTGGCAAATTTGTAACTTCCATTAAAACATGTTGCACTTTGAAACACTTGAGAAGGTGAGGGCAAATGGGCTCAGTGAGTTGTGGGGGAAAAAAGCATCACACATCACCTGGAAAACTCAGTTTCAGGATGTTTAAATTGAACATAATGGCCAAACTGCTTTGTGTTAAAATACAGTGAGCTTCTCTCTCTCTCTCTCTCTCTCTTTTTTTAAGATTTATTTATTTACTCATGAGAGACACACTGAGAGAGGGAAGCAGAGACACAGGCAGTGGGAGAAGCAGGCTCCCTGCAGGGAACCTGATGTGGGACTCTATCCGGATTCCATGATCACACCCTGAGCCAAAGGCAGGCATCCCAACAGTGAGCTTCTTGACTATAAACATTTTCTGGTGCTTTTTGTTTAAAGGGAGATTGCATGTGTGTGCAGATGTCACCTTAAATTCTGCCAGTTTTTGTGATGTAAATGAGCTGGCCCCTCCTTACGGGGACTCCCTGCAGGGCATGGAGACCCATGAGCCAGGAAGACAAGGCTCTTCTGGTCCTCTGATCTCCGTGGCTAAAGCATGTCTCCTGCCCCCAGCACTCCAGGAAATTGGTTTGCTCTCAAGTCCTGAGATACTATGCTATGCTGAGTGCAATGGCAGCCAGACACCTTGGAGAACTCCCACTGCTCTAGCATATCCAGAATGTAGAGAATTGATTGTCATGCTAGTCAGGTATAATGCTGGTAGCTTATAGACTTTTTTGTCACTTTAGTTTGGGCCTGAGTTAGGAATTTATTGGAAATACTGAAAAATAATAAGGGAATAGTTTATGTAAGCTATGATATATCCATACATAAGCAATACTAAATTGCTTAAGTAAAAAAAAAAAAGATAATCTTATAGTTTGAAACTTTCATTTCCAGTCACCTTCTGTGGCCATCCTTGAAGATACTCTCCCATCTCCTGTAGCCATAGGGCTAACATAGCCAAGAATCAGACACTGCAGGTGGCTGAATTCCAATATAAGTTGAGCTTATAGCCACATCAGATCTCTGAAGTAAAAAGTAAGCATTGATAGGAAAAGATGAAATGGTGAGAATTTGAATGGAGACAGTGAGTAGATTTAAATGAATCAGAATACCTAGAGCCTACAGACTCCCTTCCTGCAGAAGCACTCCCCCTCCTTGTCTGATAAAGTGAGTCTTACTTTGCTTAGAGAATTTGTAGCAATCTGATCCCAGGTAGGGGGTGCCAGGTATATACACTTAGGGCTAGGTCCCTCAGGAATAAAGATTGCAAATTATTTCACTAGATAAAGATCTCTAACCAGCTAAGGTGCTGGCCAAACACAAAGGAAATAGGAATTTCCTAGTGGAAGAAGGAAGTCAGAAACATCAACCATAGCCTCATAGCCAGAAAGGATGGCTAGACTGTGCATATTTTTGTGCTTATTTGTGCATAGATTCAATTTCCTTTTTATCTTCTTAATTTCTCCTGTTATATTAGATGATCTGGTATTGGTGAAACTCATCTAGTGGTTAGGTTAGATGATATCTAGGTGGATTTGCCACTGAACTAGAAGAGAAGTGATTGCCTGACAATGGATACAATAACTGGTGGGACTTAGGGTCTGCCATTTCGGTGAGAAGGTGAGTCCATTCACATTTGAATGAGGGATAGTTACCGAAGCTTGGTGTCATTGCTGTTGCAATTTGGAAATTTCAGTGTGTGTGAGAGGATGGGTATGGTTGTTGAGCAGCCAGAGAGGTGGCCTATGACATGTTATCTAGCACCCAGTACCATTCCCACCCCTTTACTCTCCCCAGAATTAAAGGGGCTGGACCCTTGGAACTACTTCCCAGATTAACAGTTGGGTGCTGGATATAGTTTTGGTTCTGCCAGTGAGGTGCCTTCGAATGGGTTTGGAAAGCAGAAGGAAGGTGGGAGCCATTGTTCCTCAGTTCATGATGGCAGCTGATGTAGAAACTTTCATAGGTGTGAGGTCTAGCACTTCAGAGCAGGAGCTGTGGACAGGTGTGAAGGCAACGACAGTTTCCTGACCTTTGAGGGGTTCACAGCTGCAATGGCAAATCTGACAGCTCCTGGTGGCCTCTACCCACGCTTCTCTGGTCCTCCCAGTTATGCAAGCATGGAACTGCCTGACTTAAATCTCTTCTACTTGAAACATCCACTGTAGATTATGTTCCTAACTAAACCCTGCCTGATGCATCCTAAATCCCATCTCCTAGGAATAAATACTGAACATTTTATATATATGGCCTTCTAAAAAATTTTATTCATGAATATTTTAAATAAATTGGATCATACAGCAAACAGTGTTTTGTAATATATGCTTTTTCACTTAACTGTATGTTATGGGTGGCTTTTTTTAAATGCTCCTCTAACTTGGGGAGATTATATAATAGAATGGGGAGGATGGAAAAATACATCAGTAGCTCACTTTGGAACAGGCCCGGGGGTACTCTTGGATTTCTAAGCAAATTAAACATGAGCTCTTTGTTTCCCAAGGAGATTATTTTCTTTGCCCAAAAGCTACTCTCATAACATCACCCTTTCACTGCCGGCTCTCATGAGTAGTCATGTTTTCTGCTTCATTTACCATTTGTTTGTTAACCTACTGCTGTCTGGCTTCTGAGTGCAACAGTTTGCTGAAGCTCCTTTTACTAAAGACTGAGTTATGTCTTCAAATTCAAAATTCCTATGTTGGCGCCCTACCCCTGAATATGATAGCATCTATAGTTGGGGCCTTTGGAAAGTAATTCTGTTTGGTTAAGTTTATGAGGGTAGGGACTGCATGGAAGGCATAGTGAGCACCCTTATGGGAAGAGACACCAGAGGGCTTGCTCGCAGCCCACGTCTCTCCCTGCATATGAGGATTCAGTGACAAGGCAGCCATCTGTAAGCCAGGAAGAAAGCCCTTACCAGTAACTGACTGTGCAGACCTTGATTTTGGTCTTGGAACAAAAGTCTAGAACTAAGAAAATAAAATCCTGTTGCTTAAGCTATCTAGTCTATGGTGACTTGTTATAGCAGCCTAAGCTGCTATACCTTTTTGAAAATCACTAATGACTTAACTGAAAAATCCAGTGACCTTTTCTTGTTTCTGGTCCTTTTCTGTAGGATTTGCCCACAAATCTTCCTTCTGGTGTGTTTTTCTTGAACTTCTATGACCCTATAACGTTTCTTCTGTCCCCACGATTCACCTTCAGACTGGGCTCTGACTCTGGGCTCTCCCTCCCTTTTCACCTTGAATGGCTGCAGCCCTACAGCACTGACCTCTCCTGTCTGAGTTACCTCCTTCAGCATTGGCACTTTACCCTTCTGCTTCTTTGTCTGTGAAATGCTCATTTGGCAACAAAGATGATATGCAAAGTCTCTGTCTGCTCTAATGTAATCCGGTCTCTAAAATCTCATGCCTGCATCATGAGCCTGACCTTTCCATTTGCCCCCAAAAGATTCATAGCTTAGTCTGATCTTCCTTTGTGGTAGATGGAAAAATAAAGAGAGGTGGAATTGCAGGAGGAATCAGACTTATCACTGATTTCCTGCTTTAGATACTCTAAGAGAATTGAAAGAATACATTTCCTCAATGTATCTAAAAAAAAAATCTTTGTTCTGTAAAAGATTTATGGCATTTCAGGGCAAGTCTTCTTTCATTTGTAAGGAAGAATTGTGGTTCAACTAAACTCCCACCAGATCAGGTAGGCTGGGTTAGCTAAAGGCAGGGGTTCCAAGGCAGGCAGGCAGGTGTCCATCTGCGTCTTGTTCACAAATCAGTCCAGTGACAAGGCATGAGTGTGCATGCCAAATAAAATATACATAAGGATTGCTAAGGAAGTAATATTGGTACAAATATTTGTATCAATATTTTCTGTCAATAGTTTCTATCAAATATTACTGATTCTATTGTGCTTCAGCTTGAGGTCTGGAAAGCAGGAAAAGAATTATCCTTTTATTGACTCTTCCCTTTTCGGATAAGATTATGTCACCCCTAGCCAGTAATGAGAAGGAATTTTTAGAAATCATTGTCAACAGGAGCACCCAGGTGGCTCAGTGGGTTAAGCATCTGCCTTTGACTCAGATCCTGATCCCAGGGTCCTAGGAGTTTGCTTCTCCCTCTCCCTCTGCTGCTCCCCCTGCTTGTGTGTGGTCTCTCTCTCTCTCTCAAATAAAATCTTAAAAAAATAAAAAAAAATAATTGCCAACAACAACAACAACCAGATTTTCTCCTTAGATCACCACATTTGACTTGTTTCATTAGTCCTAAATTTAGGAATGAGGCTGTATCACTTCCTAGTTGCAGAATCCTGTGTAAATCACTTAGCCTCTTTAAGCTTCACTTGTCTTATTTGTAAATTAAAGGTATTGATCCCTGCTTTGATAAACTCTAAGATCTCTGCCAGTCAGCCACTGCTAGTTACATAGGTGGTGGGTAGAATCTAATGCCTGCCTGTGTGCGAGCATTTTTCTTTTGTTTTGTCATTTAAGCTAGTAGCAAGCACTAATCATTGCCACTGTAAGAGCAATTTGGAAGCAGTTCACAAATGCATCTATGTGAATAAAATAAGGTACATTTAGAATCCTGTGAGATTATTCTTTATCCTCCAAGGAGAAACACCTGAGAACTTTGTAATTCCGTGATTATGAAACTATCACAATGGTGTATGATTACCAACAGTTATCAGTTTATCAAGTTTCTGGGGGTTTTTTTGGCTTACAATGATCACTTCTTGGATCTTTTCATGTTTTCTCCCTTCACATCACCAGCATTAGCAACTGGTGTACTTTGGAGAAAGCCTTTTTCCTCCCAAAGAAGTAAGTTATCATTTGCCAAGAGTTACTGTGTACACAAGAGAAAGTCACGCTGAGTTGCTGATGCTGTGTTGTTAGCTGGACATCTTTACCATGAAAACACACCTCACGTTCTTGCTTTTGTGTAACCACTGGGACTGGTAGAATGTTTTTGACTTCTCATTTCGTCGCTCTGGATGTAGGGAATACGCTGAGCACCAATTTTATACGTGCATATACTGCGACCACAGATGGACCCATCAGCTTACAGCAGGCCCTGGCGAGAACTGGCTTTTGTTCTTTCTCAGTCCCAGATTCTAGCCTCTTTTCAGGGATGGTGCCAATTATGATGTTCAGGAGATGATAAGGATATGCAACTCTGAATTTTTTTAACCAAAGTCAGTAGGAGAAACAGCAGGTTGCACGTACTTCAGTATTTCAGTTCAGTTTAACCATTTTTCTGCCTCATTCTCTGTGGTACAGAATCCTGCCTGATCTCTCAGGGTTGTTGTCTGCCTCTAATTACTGTTTACTCTGTTTATGTGAGTTGTTTGTACTCTGATATTCAATGTAATTACCATAAGGAGGAATCTCAGCCAGAAATTGTGTATTCTCGGCTCAGCCCTTCCCTTTGGGGCCAGGAACAGAGACCTGCACTCCCCCCACTTCCACAGCTGCTTGTTTTCCCTGTTTTTATATAAGAGCTTTGGCAACACTTACTTCTTCCCCTGAATTCCTAGACTTCATCATTTTATTTCCGATTCTCTTGTCTAACTCATGTTCGCTTCCTTTGACACAGTAAATTCTCCTTCTGATCAAAAAATGTCCACTCAGCAAGTGACTCAAGTGCCCCTCTAGCCTCCAGCCTTGTGTTACATTGGGCGCCCTGTTTGGTTTCAGCTATACCTACCGCTTATTCCTCTCCATTCTTTCTCATTCATGTTCAAAGTCTCCTCTGAGTCTTTGCTTGTGCCCTTCCACCCTCAAGACTTATCTAAACTCTAGTTGCCTGGGATGTCTCTGGAGTGCTGCTCCATCCAGAAAGTCTTCCCGGTTGCTGCTCACCTGCAGCCCCTGTGCCCTGTGTCCACACACAGCATGCTTCTTAGGTTAGAATTAGTTGTGAACATATTTGACTCCTGGAAGATAGCATTCATCTGGTTTTTGCTTTCCTGTTCTTATTTTGGCGCTTGAATACATTGACCAAGTATCCTTAGTTTGCATTTTATGACCCTGAAGGTCTTCCGCCCAACATAACGCTTCTAGTGTGGTGCAGTTGTCCTGCAGATTGTATTCTGACCTCAGCAAGGAATGGCCCCTACAATCAAGTCTCTTATTCCTGCTCTTCCCTTTTCACTGCTATATAAAATTCATCCTAATAATCCCCAGAAGTAATTCCTTACGAAGCATGAGATTTGGCAGGCCCTATATGTTTTGGAAACTGTCAAGCCAGGAGGGTTTAAGGTGGCTATTAACAATTTTGCAAATGCCATTTATACCAGAGATACAGCAGCATTTATCTGGCTTTCTTGGCTGTGAAACAGTCTCAGCCAAGCTGAAGCTGATTACGTTGGCCCTGCAACAAAGGTAATTTATTCATCACAAAACCTCCCATTAACTACAATCAGATTTTTAACTGCTGATTGAAAGGAGAGCTGGTGTATCAGGGCACAATTACCCTCTAGACCAAAAAAGCTACTCTTAAGGTACTTTTTAATTGTTTTCATTCCTAAACCTAATTATTGTTGGCTTTGCAGGTGTCTAATAATTAACTTATTCATAGAAGATTAACCTATATATATTTTTTGCCTTCCACTCTCATTCTAATTCATATTTTGCATGTCTGGGGGCTTAATATCTACATAAGATCTCCCCCGATTTCTGGATGGCTTTTATTAAAAACACCTTATAAAGCAGTGGCTCAGCTGAATTCCTTCCCTGGGAGGATGTTGATTTCCTGAGAAAACTAAGAACTCTGGAGAGTTCTTCACATTCTTTAATTTATAGATGTGTTTCCCCAGCTTAAAATGGCAGTTGCCTCTTCCCCAAGTTCCAGTGGTCACATGTCACCATCTGGGTCTACCCCAAACCCAAAACTGTAGACTTTCTGCCCCATTGGTGTCAACAACTTTAAGTGAATGCCAATCTGAAGGATTTCTCTCCCTGGCTTTCTTCACAGACATTCATGGGCTTTCCACCCTCAGTTAAATCCCCTGACAGTTTTTTTTTTTTTAAGATTTTATTTATTTATTCATGAGAGACACACAAAGAGAGGCAGAGACACAGGCAGAGGGAGAATCAGGCTCCCTGTGGGAGCCTGATGTGGGACTTGATCCCGGGATTCCGGGATCACGACCTGAGCCCAAGGCAGATGCTCAACCACTGAGCCACCCAGGTGACCCCCCTGACAGTTTTCTCTTCTGGCTCATTTGTAAAATAAATGCTTCACAGGGGGCTTATTTTGCCCTCTCCATGTAGGTGTCCAGTGCGTGTGTAGTGATGGTGGTGGTGTGAGGAAGAGGTATGCACACATTTTGAAAGACATACTGCAATATTAAATTTCCTTCACTTGGGCAGCCCCAGTGGCTCAGCAGTTTAGCACAGCCTTCAGTCCAGGGCGTGATCCTGGAGACCCAGGATGGAGTCCCACGTTGGGCTCCCTGCATGGAGCCTGCTTCTCTCTCTACCTGTCTCTGCCTCTCTCTCTCTCTCTGTCTCTCTCTGTCTCTCTCTCTCTCTGTGTGTGTCTCTCGAATAAATAAATAAAATCTTAAATAATAAATTTCCTTCATTTGCCCATAGCTAATTCAGGGACCAAAAGATTGAGGGACTGAGAAGGGCTGTGAAGGGATGAGTGTGTGTGTGTGTGTGTGTGTGTGTGTGTGTGTGTGTGTGTAAACAACATGGCAGCATTTAAGTGTTGTCTTCCTGTTAGAAGTGCTGACTGATGGAAACAGACCACTGAGTGGGCTGCACTCACTCACTGTCCATTTTCTCTTCTCCCCATCCACTTGTCCTATCTCTTTACTCCACTGACTTGGTTGAGGGAAAGTAAGTATAGTATTTACCAGACATACCTCTCAAAGTAGCCAGTTTGATCTGCACAGGTGAGGTGCCGGTTTTCTGGTAGCTCCAGCTCCAGTGCCTCCCTACATTCTCTTCCAAGGAGAAAGTCCACCATGGAGACTGTCCAGGTGATGGGATATGACATTCCTATGTACCAGACTCCTGCTTATTTTGCTCACTGGAACTTCAGTACTCAGACCAGTTCTCAAGTCTTGGCTTCTTTTTCACACCATAATTTGAGGAGGTGAAGAAATCTAATTTCTTCAAGAACTCTTAAAAGTGAAAAAGTTTCTAGTAGACTGTTAAGTGGATCTTGTTCAGTGTATGAGTATGTATGTGGATACAGGAGCAACCTTTGACCATAGAGGTGACTGACTTCATTTGGTCTGAAAAGAGTCCTAGTTGATACGGCTGAGGAAGGTAGGGGAAACAGATCTGTTTCTTTTCTGAATTCTTTCTTGTCCTAGAAGTCATATTCTCTGGGAATTCGTCATCTGTCTCTGTCAGTGGTGACTGACTCTTCTTTGTCCTCAGGGAGGAAGATGAGTACTCAGAACTGCGGTCAGAACTCAGCCAGAGCCAGCATGAGGTCAACGAAGACTCTCGAAGCATGGACCAAGACCAGACCTCTGTCTCCATCCCCGAAAACCAATCCACCATGGTCACTGCTGACATGGGTGAGTCTGCCTGCCATTGTACGAAGCCAGAGTTTGGTTTCCAGATTGTAATGGGAATTTTAGAAATATGAGGCAGCCTGAATTAAAATTTAGTCAAGGAGTTGGATGAGTAGATGAAAGCACATCCATATGAGTCCCTTACATGTTACTTTGTTGGAACTAAAGAGGTGAATTAGCTTTTTGCCTTGATGTTTGAGATTCAAATGTACATCACCTCTATTTGAAAATTCTAGAGATGGGGAACCAGCTGATGAGGCTATTGTAGTGTTCCAAGTTACAGTGAAATCTGAGCTGTAATGGCAGGAATGGGAAGGATGGAATGGGTGATGATACGTTGTGGTGGGGGAGCCAATAGGTTTTAGCAACTTTTGGGTAAGAAGGAATCCAAAATGACTCTAACATGTTGGTTCTGACTAAGAGAATGATCATATTTCTTAGTAAGGATGTTTCGTGAGAAATGAGTTGGGAAATAAATATGTTTGAGGTTGTAGAGAAATGTCCATCCAGGAATACTTGGGATGGTGTATTTTAAACTGCAGGTCATGACCTATTAGTGGGTCTTGGGATTCAATGAAAAATATTTTCTAAGTGAAATCGACTAGGAAAAAAAAATGGCAGAACTACTTCATGAAAATTATTTGTTGAGAGAGTGTGTGTGTAATAAGTTGCTTCTGCTGTGGGCTGCAGTCAACCCACGAAATGTTGCAAAGCCACAGGTCTACTTGGAGATGCTTAACTGCTTAACTCACCTAATCTTTGGTGAGATTAGCGTTGAGGATAAAGACTTTGAAGTTATGAGGTAAGGAGATCTCTGTGGTCAAAAGGCTGTGGAGTCAGAAGATGGAGGAGTACCGTATCTTAGGAAATGTAGGAAAGTGATAGAGGAAGAACTAGAAGGAGACGTAAACATAGTGTAACTTTCTTAGAACCTAAAATTGCGTTGGAAAGAGACTTTAATGTAGTACACATTTATATTAATTATGAAAGTGCTATAACATTAAGGAACAGAGTACCACAAGAGTTTAAAAAGGACTTTGATTCAGTTTAAGATTCTAGAAGAGCTTCCTCAAGGAAGTGCCATTTGAGCTGAGAGCTGGAGGGTAAATAGGAATTTACCAGATGAAGGAGGAGATGCATTCAGGGGAGGGTGGGGGAAGTAGATGCATTCAAGGAGATAACAAGAGATCATCATGTATGGAGGGCCCAGAGGTGTGAGATGGAGGATGGAGAGGTAGACAGGAGCCATAGCATGCAAGATCTCATAGACCATGTTAGAGAATTTAACCTTTAGTCAAACAGGCACAAGAAGCCACTAAAAGGGGCAGCCCTGGTGGCGCAGCAGTTTAGCGCCGCCTGCAGCCCAGGGTGTGATCCTGGAGACCCGGGATCGAGTCCCACATTGGGCTCCCTGCATGGAGCCTGCTTCTCCCTCTGCCTGTGTCTCTGCCTCTCTCTCTCTCTGTATCTCTCATGAATAAATAAATAAATAAAAATCTTAAAAAAAAAAAAAAGAAGCCACTAAAAGATTTTAGTAGTTAAGGATGGGGATGAAACGATCAGGTTTGCATTTTGAATCATCATTCTGTAATAAAGAGAATCAGTGGATCAAGAATGATTGGGGGAGGCCAGCTAGGAAACCATTGCCAAAATCTTGGTGGACTAGGATCAGGGTGGCAGTGGTTAAGATCTAGAAAGATGGAAAATTGGCAAGATCTGCTGAAAGATTAGAAACAGAGGGGAAAAGAAGTATGTGTGTGGAAATGTTCCCTAAGTGTCTGGATCAGTGCTGCCGAGTGCCAACACGGGAGCACAGAAAAAAAGGTGGTTTTGTTTGAGTTTTGTTTTGTTTTGAGGGAGTGGGAGTGCAGGGTGTAGCTCCTGTGTTTTGTTTGGACATAAGTTTGTGGTGTCTTGAGGTATCTGGGTGGAGATGCTTCAGAAGGCAGCAGGTAGACATAAGCCAAGAGGGAAAGGTCTAGGCTGAAGAAAAGCAGTTAGGAAACACAGGGTTATGTGCAGACAGTCACCGAAGCAGTGGGAGGCCATGATAGAGTGAGGAGTGCAGAGAACTGGGGCCTGAGCCTTGGGGGCCACCAGCCAAAGAGAGACCTGGCAGAGCTCCTGCAAAGGGTATGCTTCTCATTGTAGTCTCCGTTTAAATGCACGTCCTTTGAAAGCATCTCATGAATGCCAGTCTGTACCAGTTCCTGTGTTGACTCTGTCACTGCCCCATTTGTCTCCTTGCATCAAATTGAAAAATTTTTTTAAAGATTATTTATTTATTAGACACACACACACACACAGAGAGAGAGAGAGAGGGAGAGAGGGAGAAGCAGGCTCCATGCAGGGAGCCTGATGTGCGACTCTATCCCAGGTCTCCAGGATTACACCCTGGGCCAAAGGCGGCACTAAACCGCTGAGCCACCGGGGGCTGCCCTCAAATTTAAATTTTAAATGATATATTTCTAGTTATTTGCTTGACTGACTATCCCACTATACTCCACTGGGCAGAAGTATGTGTATCTACTAGCAGATCCCCAGAGCCCTGAGCCCACCACTGGGCCTGGCACATACTGTATGTTCAGAGATGTTTGCTGGGATGAACAAGTGAAGCAGTCAGCAAGTCCATCCAGCAGTGAGCCAGCCAGAGCTGTAGGGAGGAAACAAGGAGAGCCATGTCTGAGAAGTCAGTGGGGCAGAGAAATCTCTAAAAAGGAAGGGGTCCGCAGGATGGATTGGTGCTAAAGCCAGCAAAGTCATTGAGAGCTGTATACTGATACCTATATGATCCCAACAGAAATGGAGTAAGGATTGGAGACACCTCCTTGGTCCTCAGGCTCTTGGCTTCAGGCTGAAACGGCCTCTCTGAAAATCACCTGAACCTGTATCTCGGCCCTAAGTTAGAACACATGCAACTTCCTAGGACCATCCCAGCTGTGGGCTCAGGTTCCACATGCTGCCATACCAGCGTCGCAGTCTCTAACCCTGGTGGCCCCAGGCTTCTGGACTCTGCCTTCCAGCCTCAGGAGTGAAAAGTACAGACAGCCAAGAAGTTCCCAAAGCAAAGAGATACACCCACACTGATCCCTCCATTCATGTCTCTGAAAGTGTACTTTATGAAATATCTGCCCCCCACACCAGTAAATTTTCTCAATCAAGTGAGGCTGGGGAGTAGAGGGATAAACCTACTTAATTGGGCAGGGCATCTTTACTGTGGGACTGCCTGGGGCTCCTAACAGAGCACTCAGTAGCCCAGGCCATCTAATGGGGGCTGGTGTGTCTGCCTGTCTGTGCTAGGAGCTGGCTTCATTTTCCCAAATTATGAATCTCAAATCCTTTCTGTCCATCCTTTTCCTCATTATAAATATATGTTCGTTATAGCCAGTGATAGTATCTCTGCCAATGAGATGGAGCTCCTGGAGGGAAGGGACCCCATCTATCCAATGTCTGTACGTGTTCTCTGCCCACATAGTGGCGGCCTTGATTCATTTATTCAACAACTCACTGGGTGCTATGCAAGGGACTGGGGGGGGGGGGCGGGAGACACAGGCTCTGCGCACGGATCGCTATACACTCCCACTTACATGTATCACACTGAGAGTGACATCCTGACTCCTGACTGTGGACTGTAGGCCCCCACAGAACTGCCATCCCCCATCTTGGGCCTCACCGTCCCCCCTTGCCCCCCCATCCCTGTCTTACTCCCAGCTCTGGCCACACTGGCCTCCACGCTGCCCCTCACACCCAACCGGCTTGTCTTGTTTCACTGCTACTCTTTCCTGAAGTGCTCCTTCCCTGAGCCCATCCGAGGCTTCCTCTGGCCCTGGTTGAGCACTATGGCCTTTCCTCACTGCCAGGCACTGTCCTGCCTTTCTGGCTTCATTTCTCCTCTCGACACTTAGCGCTTCCTGGGTACGTTGTCTGTGCATTTATTTTTTCTTATATACTCATTGTAGCTGGTCCCTCCCACTAGAATCTAGGATGCAGGCCCCATGCAGGCAGGGATTAGAGCTATCCTGTTTGCCAGTTGTAATGGCATCTGCACAGAGGAGGCACCAAATGCCGAGTAGAAGCGAATGCCGTCTTGGAGCTCACAGTTCTCTGGAGGATGCAGACAGGCAAACAGGGAATGATGACCATGGTGGGGTAAGGACCACACCAAGAGGTGGACAGGGGCTCCTAGCAGCACCCTGGGTGGGGGGGAGGGTGGCAGGAACATTGGTGAATCCATCCCTGAGGTTGCATCTAGCAGAAAGCTGGGGGATGGGTGGGAGTGATGCAGGGAAAGAGCAGGGGCAGGAGGAGAGCCCAGGAGGCAGAGGGCCCGCACCTGCCAGGTCCCCAGGGAGGATTCTCAAGGAGGGCAGGCACAGGACGGCCAGGAGGGAGGGGTGCATCAATGCTGCTGTGGAGTATAGCGCCCCCCTCCAAGTTGTGTGTGTGTGTGTGTGTGTGTGTGTGTGTGCTCATCAAAACTGTGTGTCTTCCTCTTCTTACTCCTTTGCCATTTTCCAATTAAACTGCTTCAATAGGGCAAAAAGCTTCCATATATAACACCACTATAGGAAATCGTTAAAAAGCAACCATTTCATTATGGTTGCTATATTTGCAAACCTGCATTATCCACCCAAAGGTTTTTCTTGAGTTGGATTTTGCTTGAGTTTGCTTGCATTATATTTGCTGATCTTCAGTTAAGATAGCTGGAGTTAGTGCAATCTATTCCCTTCATCAGAAAGCACTTGTCAATTGTTTTCAAACCCCGCATCAGAGTCTGGCTGCCCCTTCAGTAAGCTGGCTCCTGGGCATTGTCCTCAGGCCTTGAAGGAGTAAACCAGCAATTTAGAAAGTGCTTTGACTCACCTAACCAGTCCTAGGAAGGAGAAGGATCGGGGCAGTGTCACATTGAATCTTAGAAGAAGTTGCTCTGTTCAAACCTGGTCACAGTTTGGGGGAAAAAGGTAATTAAATGACAAAGACAAGGTAGGAAGGAATCGTGGCTT